GTAGTAACCCAACCGCTGGGTCAAAACAACCCAATTGCTGGGTTTGTCCCTATTTTACCCAGCACTGGGTTGCATTTAACCCAGCGTTTTTTAGAGTGCAGTGGAATTTCTAACATAATTCAGAACCACTCCTAATTGGAATCAGATCCTGGATAAACTGGAGTCCCTTTTTAAGTATTTATGTTGCTGTTTTCTCTCAAGCACTGACAAGCCTCATATGAGTCAGTAATGCTGTCTCCACTCAGGTCCGGTGGGTGATGATTGATGTGAGAGATTTCAAGCATGTTACAAGTCACTCAACACTTACTGTTACAACACTTCCTTCCACATTCCCAGCTCAACACCGCCCTCAGCTGTCAGCACTCTCACATACTGTACAGTGATTCAACTACTGCCTTTTTATGAAACGACTGATTGATTGCTTATTCTGGCCAGACACCAGTAAAAGACTGAAAAGAATACTAAAGAGTGAAAACAGGATGAAGGAGAAACAGATGAAGAACTAGGACTAACTGACTGCGTGCATAGGCTACATTTGAAACAATAACATGAATTTGTGTGAGAGAGACTTTATTGCAATTTATTAATAGCATTTGAACATTGTTACTATATGTCACTATTTAAAACTGTTTAAATCATCAACATATAAAATCGACAGCTGGTTAACGAAATCCTTCGGTTGGTAACACTTAACTATTTGAAAATGAACTGTTTACAGTTTAAAGATATTATTCTGATGCTACTCTTGGTCTTTGTCACATTTCTGCGCACAGGCTCACCATCCATCAGTCATCTAGCACAGCTTTGTCGTTGGTAGAATTGGATAAGCATAAAATATTTTAATGCAAGCATTTCAGTGAAATATAGTGTAAGCAATATGTTACGGAGCAGCACCCAAGGGCCATGGTGATGGAAAACAAAATCAGATGGGAGTAAAACTGATTTTGCGTTCTCTCGCGAAAGTGCGTTCCATGGAGTTGCGTTTGCTCCAAAATATAATTTCCCTCCCACTCCATATTGTTTGCAAAGTTCCTAGTCGGAACGCAAAGTTTCTCGGGAGAACGCAAAAGCATTAAAATATAATCTCCCTTCCATTTCATTTTTTACTACAGGTGCAATTTAATAAATTAGAATGTCGTGGAAAAGTTCATTTATTTCAGTAATTCAACTCAAATTGTGAAACTCGTGTATTAAATAAATTCAGTTCGCATAGGTTTTTCTCAGACTTGAGGAAGGACTTTTTGCTGACTTTGACCAACCAAGAAATCACCCGCATCACCTTTTTACCTTAGCAACCGCATAGCAACACCCTGGCAACCACTTGTAACAGTCTAAAGTTAGTGGCGCCCAATTTTGCACAAGCCAACAGCACTCGGATTTTACTTTAAAAACATTATTATGTGCTTTGCCCTTTATTTCACTTGATTCTTTCATTTACTTCCTACACATATAGCGGAATGTGCAAAAGAAGAGGAATGCTAATGCGGGCCTGATTTTCTCCCCAAACCTGCTCAGTGAGAGTCTCACCCTCCACATCCAGTCAGACCGGAGAGACACACTCTCTCTCTCTCTCTCTCTCTCTCTCTCTCTCTCCAATCTCCTTCGTCTTCTCCACATTCAGAGAGAGATTGTTGTCACTGCACCACCCGGCCAGGCGGCTCACCTCGCTCCTGTAGTTTGTCTCATCTCTGTTGCTAATGAGACCCACTACAGTCGTACATGTGATTATGGTAAATGAATTTCATGACCTTCAACTGCCCTAGTTTTTCAGTCCATATTTTTGACATCTGTCATGATGTCAGTGAGGCTGGGAAATCATCATATATGCAAGGCAGTGACATTCAGAAAAATGCTTTCACTGCCACTGTTTGAACAGCCTGACTCACCTTTAGCTTTTGCATGACGGGTTGTATTAATGTGTCAGTGTGGTTTAGTATTAATGAACTAATCTTGTTCCACTCACACTCATTCCAGTCTATTCTGAACACTTGCTTTGTGTGCTACTCTTTGTTATTGAATTAGAAAGAGCTGGGCGCAGTTCTGTCTGAGAACCATCAGAGACTCCAGGACAGAGAGAGAGAACTGAAAGACATGAAAAAAGTCTTAGACACACTCACGGTAAATATTTATTGCACCCAAAAAACTAATAAATGATATAGAAGCAATATTCTGTTGGTTTTATGAGTTACATCATACACAATCATGGTATTTAAAAGCAAAGTTCACGCAAAAATGAAACCATAACCATAACCAAAACCATAAGACTTTGCTTCATCTTCAAAACACAAATTAAGATATTTTTAAAGAAGCCTGAGAAGTTTCTGTTCTGTTCTGTCCAGGTAAATAAAACTGAAAAGATCCAGAAAGGTCATAAAGGTGTCGTAAAATGAATGCATTGTTAATCGAGTGGTTTAATCCAAGTCTTCTGAAGAGGTACAATGGCTTTACATGATGAACATATTTAATTTAATCTTGTATTTGCATCTGAATAATGATTGACACACATAGCGCACTTCACATATGGTGAACATGGAAGCTTAAATGTGACCCTGGACCACAAAACCAGTCATAAGGGTCAATTTTTCGAAATTGAGATTTATACATCATCTGAAAGCAGAATAAATAAGCTTTCCATTGATGTATGGTTTGTTAGGATAGGACAATATTTGGTCGATATACAACTATTTGAAAATCTGGAATCTGAGGGTGCAAAAAAATCTAAATGCTGAGAAAATCGCCTTTAAATTTGTCCAAATGAAGTCCTTAGCAATGCATATTACTAATCAAAAATTTAATTTTGATATATTTACAATAGGAAATTTACAAAATATTTTACTTTGGCAAAACTTTACTTAATGTCATAATGATTTTTGGCATAAAAGAAAAATCAATAATTTTGACCCATACAATGCATTTTTGGCTATTGCTAAAAATATACCCCAGCGACTTAAGACTGCTTTTGTGCTCCAGGGTCACAAATGTGCATATGTGATGCATGAGAACCAATGATGAACACACAAGCTTTGTTGTTCATATGCAAATAGAAGCCTGAAATAAATCTGTTTATCACATAAAGCATCGTATCTCTTTACAAGACTTGGATTAAACCACTCAATTCATATGGATTCCTTTTACAATGCTTATATGACTTTTTTGGATCTGCTGCTGAGTTTTGGTTATCTGGACTTTCAATGGAGGAACAGAAACCTGAAATATCTTAAATTGTGTTTCAAAGATTAACCAAAGTCTTATGGGTTTGGAACAACATGAGGGTGAATAAATAATGACTTTTTTTTGGAGGGTGAGCTATTCTTTAAAGTCTGAATATTTGTGTGTGTGTAGAGGTCCTCAGAAACGGTGCGGGACGAGGCGGATGTGGTCCTGTCGGAGCTCCAGGAGTCAGTGCAGCGGATGCTAGAGCTGCTCCAGGACGTGATGGTCTCCACTGCACAGGAGAAACTCAACGAGACCCAGGACGTGGTGACCAAACTGGAGGCCGAAGTCAAACAGCTGAAGAAAAAAGATGGAGAACTGAAAGACCTCATCAACTGCCAGGACAGTATCTACTTCCTGAAGGTCAGATGATGGTTTCACAAAACTGCTTCCACTATTCAAAAGAGGAGAATGTCTCAGAGAGCACATGAATAATCTCTTTATACCTCGTCTCTACAGACGTATCAGTCTCTGTGCTGTCCTCTGGAGGGGGGAGATCTGGGAGCTGTGACCGCGAACCCCGAAGCCACGTTTGATCCCGTCAGGAGCATCATCGTCCAGCTCAGGGAGAAAGTGGAGGAGATGTGTGACCAGGAACTGGACAAGATCAACAAGACAGGTACACAAACACACACAGACACACACACACACACACACACACACCACACACAGAACTGCTGTCATGTACAGGGTCACTGGAGGGTCATTTTCTGTGTCTCTCCTCAGTGTACAACACCACAGCATTCACAGTGGCAGACCGCAACGGCCAGAAAACAGGAGGCATAATGAAATGTAAGTCAATTTCACTATAATGCATTTGGTAAAATTTCAACAAAAAATAATTAGTCTTATCTGATCATTTTGTTACATTTTAAAGTGAAATGAATGTTTTATACACAATATTGCCAAAGCAGCAATATAAATAACAAAAACAGAGATGCACAAATTGATACCAGTCACATTGTTAAAAATAACAACTATGAATATATAAATCAAAATAAAATAATTATAATAGAAAAATTATTATAAAATCTTTAAATACAATTCTAAAATAAAATGAAATTATAAAACAGAATTATTTTATTTTATATTATATTTTTTATAATTTATGTTATAAAATGTATTTTTATTGTTCTGTTTATGTTTAAAAACACAAAATTAATGTTATTTTAAATAATATTATCAAAACAGTGGTTGGTTGAGTCCTATTTTCTTCTGTAGGTTTTATCATGGTTTCATCTGTCATTTGTCTGTAGGCAAGGCAAGGCAAGGCAAGTTTATTTGTATAGCACATTTCATACACAATGGTAATTCAAAGTGCTTTACATAAAATAAAATAAAAACAATAATCACAACAATAAAACAAGGAATTTAAAAACTTTGAAAATTATTTAAAAAAAATTGATTTAAGAGGTTTAAAATGAATTTAAGAAAACGATTATACATATAATATAGTGCAATCAGTTCGGACATCGCACAGTGCTCATTCAATAAATGCACAGCTAAACAGATGAGTTTTGAGTCTGCATTTAAATGTGACTAATGTTTTAGCACATCTGATCTCTTCTGGAAGCTGATTCCAACTGCGGGTGGCATAATAACTAAAAGCACATTCCCCTTGTTTTGTGTGAACCCTCGGTATTTCTAACTGACTCGATCCTAATGATCTGAGTGGTCTGTTAGGTTTATATTCAGTGAGCATATCTGCTATATATTTAGGTCCTAGGCCATTGAGTGATTTATAAACAAGTAAAAGTACTTTAAAATCAATCCTAAATATAACTGGAAGCCAGTGTAAGGACCTGAGGACTGGTGTAATATGCTCAGATTTTCTGATTCTAGTCAGAATTCTGGCAGCAGCGTTCTGGATGAGCTGCAGCTGTCTAATGGTCTTCTTGGGAAGGCCGGTGAGGAGACCATTACAATAGTCCACCCTGCTGGTGATAAAGGCATGAACAAGTTTCTCCAAGTCTTGACTGGAAACAAAACCTCTAATTCTTGCAATGTTTTTGAGATGATAGTATGCTGATTTAGTTACAGCTTTGACATGACTACTGAAACTAAGGTCTGTCTCCAGAATCACACCAAGATTCCTGACTTGATTTTTAGTTGTTAGACCCCTAGAGTCAAGGTATGCATTCACCTTGAGAACTTCATCTTTGTTTCCAAATGCAATGACTTCGGTTTTCTCTTTGTTTAACTGAAGAAAGTTCTCGCACATCCAACTGTTAATTTCATCAATGCATTGGCAGAGGGAGTCAATGGGGCTGTAGTCATTTGGAGATAAGGCTAGGTAAATCTGGGTATCATCTGCATAGCTGTGATAGGCGATTTGGTTCTTTCTCATTATTTGACTTAGTGGGAGCATATACAGGCTAAACAAGAGCGGTGCAAGAATTGAGCCTTGTGGGACTCCGCATGTCATGGACGTCCACTTAGACTTATGCTCTCCTATACTCACATAATAACCTCTCCCTTCTAAGTATGACCTGAACCATTTAATTACCATGCCAGAAAGCCCAACCAAGTTTTCCAGTCTCTCTAGTAGTATGTTATGATCGACAGTATCAAACGCAGCACTGAGATCTAGTAGTACCAGCACTGATATTTTGCCAGATTCAGAATTTAAGCGAATATCATTTATTATCTTAATGAGTGCTGTCTCTGTGCTGTGATGCGGTCGAAAACCAGATTGAAAATTGTCCAGGTATCCATTTGAGTTTAAGTATTTGTTCAGCTGATTAAAGACTACCTTTTCAATAATCTTTCCTATAAAAGGAAGATTTGATATTGGTCTATAGTTGCTCAATATGGTGTTATCAAGATTTCTCTTTTTCAGAAGGGGTTTAACAACTGCAGTTTTCAGGGAGTTTGGAAAAGTCCCAGAAAGAAGTGAGGCGTTCACCACTTCTAAGAGATCTGCTTCCAAACAGTTAAGCACCCTTTTGAAAAAATATGTGGGAAGTGTGTCAAGATAGCATGTTGACGATTTAAGGTGCTGTACTATTTCTTCCAAAATTTTGCTATCAATTTCTTCAAAAGCAGACATAGTATCTTCTTTTTGATATTGTGGTCGAATATGTCTAACCTCTGCATAACTTGGGGATGTGCTAATCGCCTTCCTGATATTATTGATCTTCTCAGAAAAGAAGGAAGCAAACTCATTGCATTTGCTGTCGGAGAGCATTTCACTGGCAATCTGATTTGGGGGGTTTGTCAGTCTCTCAACAGTAGCAAAAAGAGTGCGAGTGTTGTTTAAGTTACTGTTTATAAGGTTTGAGAAGAATGACTGTCTAGCTTTGCCTAGTTCCACATTGAAAGTACGAAGGCTGTCTTTATATATTTAATTTAATTTAATTGTATTTAATTGTATTTTATTTTATATTTGGATTTAATTTGATATTTTATTTTCTTTCTTCAGTGAACACACGTGCACAGGCTGTCAGAAACAATGAGCCAAGAGGTGAGACTGTTGTGATATGATTTAACATTTTAAATGTGTTTTAGAGAGATTTTGTGACTATATGTAGGAGTTTAAATAGTTTTTATATAAACATTTGTTTATATCAGTTAACAGAGGTGTTACAAACTCCCAAAGACCAGCCAGATCACCGAGAGAGGAGAGAGATGACAGTAAGACGCGCGTCTCACTGTTTTAATCGTGTATATATAATCATCTGTAGTTTGTCATTTATAGTTTCTCACGCTACAGACGAAAAGAGTCGCAGTTCATTGAGACCAAGAGAAACGCAAAGAAGAGAGGAAAGAGAAAACAATGATGGTGAGAATGAGACATATTCATAAAGATATAATGACCAACATCAGTCCAGTGTAGTTTTGCTCATTATTTGTGATTTTTCAACAGTGAGATCAAGAGGAAGACCGAGAGGAGAAGACAGAGATCAGGGTGAGTTTTAGTGGACGAAAGATGTCCAGGTCATATGCTATAATCAAAAGACAGAAAAAGGAATAAAAAAAGAGAGATATTTTGCAGAAAGTAAATTGAGCCTATTTTTATAACCATAAAGATTATTTTGCATTATATACTTTGACAATCAATCTCATTATCATAGTGTGTCCAGCTATTTGTATTACTTTTCAGTAATTCAATGGTTAGTCTTATTATTTTAATGTTACTTCAATACAGTTTTTATCAGTACAACACGACATCACTACCATGATCTTCATTTGTGAAAACTATAATTTAAATGCTTTATACATGTAAAATTGTTTACAGTTTAAATACTTCATAAACTTGTAAATAGTATAGATGCAACTGTGCAGATAAAAATTTTAATATGATTTAAATAATTAAAAACCTTAAATACTTTATAAATACTAATGAGAATTAGAGGAGAATATGTCATGAAAAAATGTCAATGCCAAAAATCGATGCTTTCTTACATTTTGAGCAAATATGTTTTCTTTTTTTCCCTCTATTTGATTCTGGAGTGAAATATGACTCAGACATATCCTGACATTCACCCTAGTGTCAGTTATTTTGTTGTTGTTCAGTTTTGTGTGTTTTATTAATATCATAGTAGTCATGGACAGAGAAAGTCAGACCTCTCAGAGACGTCAAAGCACACAGAGCAGAAGCACACGTGATGAAGAACAAGGTGAGGTTTAATTAAAAGATTTTCAGTGTGGTGTCAGACTCAAGTTTATATACATTGCGTAAACCAACCTCACAGTTTTTAAAGCGGTTTTCATTTTAATTGTCAGCAGACCGCTGGAGTTTGAGTTCAATCAGACCAAGACTGAGGAGAGAGGACAGAGAACAAGGTGACGTTTGATTCATGTCTAGTTTTTGGAAATTTAACACCTACTTTAAAGGAGACATATTATGCCCCTTTTTACAATATGTAATATAAGTCTCTGGTGTCCCCAGAATGTGTCTGTGAAGTTTCAGCTCAAAATACTCCACAGATCATTTATTATATCATTTTGAAAATGCCTATTTTGAGTGGAAGCAGAAACACGCTGTTTTTCGGGCATGTCTCTTTAAATGCAAATGAGCTGCTGCTCCCCGCCCCCTTTTCCAGAATAGAGCTGCGCCTTTACAGCTCGTATCTGCTAAAAACATCTGTTTTGGTTCTGATTATCATGTTTATCATGCTGAAATCATGCGTTTTAAACCATATGAGTTTAAACTTCAGATATAAGGTTTTCTGAGCGCACACATCCGAAGCACACGGACAGAAAGCGGCTGTCACAGCATGTGAGTACTAAACTAAGTTCTGTGCTCGTCTGTGCAGCCAAAGACAGAACTTTCGCCATGGCATTAGAGCTGGTACACAGTTGTCGCTTGCAAAATCAAATGACAGTGCCTTGAGTGGAAGTTTACAGATTAAGGGGCGGTAATATTATAATGAGATCCCTTTGCCACGTCACCAAGAGAGCGAAATCAGACGCGCTCGTTTTCTCAGAGGCTTGCAGAAAAAGGCTTTCCAAAACAAAGTGATTGGGTTCATCTTTTTCACGTTTCCTTGGTTGGTAGATGCACCGGGGACCTGATTATAGCACTTGAAACCTGGAAAAGTCTGATTTTCATGATATGTCACCTTTAAGAATCACATCATGTTTGTGTCTGTTTTCCCTCCCGACAGTCAATGGAGAAACACAGCAAAGATCCAACGCTGTGGACAGACAGCAGCCGGCCAGACAATGTGAGTGACAGCAGCTCAAATCAAATCAAGATGTTGTGTTTTTAATCCTCATTGTGTTCTTCATCAAAAGCGGACAGATGGAGTCTGAGCTCTCTCTTACCCAGAAACAGGAAGAAGAGACAGGACACAGGTGAGCGCAAGAATACACACTCTAAATGAGGACAAATGATAGACTTCTGTTGCTTTTATGTACAGCTAACTAACTTTTGGGGACAAATGTGTGCCTGAAGTATACTCGCATAAACCTTCATACAATGAAACCAAGCTTAGCTTGTTCCGAAATCTTTACTAGTCATTCTGGTTTGTCTTGCGTCCAGATAAACGCCTGTATTTCCTGCTCATGTGAACTGTGGTCTAAGCATATCTATCAAGTATCTCAAAATGTCCTCTTATTTTTGTCTGCATTTGTTGTGTTTTCAAGTATGTGTCCAGCAACACAGAGCTAAATGTGTCCACTGGATTTAGAAACCTGTTCAATTAAAAATGTTTTGTCATCATCATAACGTCATCAAATTATTGCATGAACCATGATGTCATGTGTCGCATTTTCACTCACAGTGAAAGAGGCCACACCCACTATACTGGAGGCGGAGTCAGTGACACCTCGTAGCCCCTCCTCTGCCAGTGCCTGTAAGTCACTCAGTGTACACACTAGCGATTCAAGAATTATTTGAAATTAAATGATACATTGCATTTTAAATAAAATAAATAGTTTAGAAATTCATATAATTTACTATCTACATAATTCATGAATGTATTCAAATACAAATAACAGTGAGAGGATGAAAAATGGTCATGAAAAATTAAATTATGTTGTTTAAATAATAAAACAAATGCATACTTTTATTCAGAAAGTTGCATTGAATTGATCAAGTGACAGTAAACACATTTATAATGTTACAAAAGATTTTTCTGAAGGATCATGTGACACTGAAGACTGGACTAATGATGCTGAAAATTCAGCTTTACATCACCAGGTTAAAATATGTTCAAACAGAAAAGAGTATAAATTATAATAATAATTTACAATATTACTGTTTTCACTGTATTTTATCAAATAAAAGCAGCCTTGGTAAGAGACTTTCAAAAACATTTTAAAAATACTACCAACCAACACACTTGCCTTTTTCAAATTAGCTCTAAAAACTGAAAATCATTGTAATTGTTATATTATTAATTATCTAAACTATTGTTGACTGTATCTCTCTTCTCTCTGTAGGGGGAGAGCCAACAGAAGGTAATATTGAGGTTTTTGTTTGTAGTTTTACAGCTGGTTAAATTGTAGTTAAATGGATTACATGTAGGGGAACGACTCCTAAGTGTCTCACTCTGTTTCTGTCTTTCTCTCCGTACAGTGAATCCCGGGCTGTTCCTGGACTCTCCTACCGACAGTCCCTTTGCCAATCCTGCTTTTCCCACATGTCAGCATTTACAACAATATCTTTTACATTACACACACCATATTATGAAAGAAAGATGGATGGATGAATGGATAAATGTATGGATGGGAAGTTGGATGGTGGATGGATGGACACATCATATGAAAGACAGATGGATAGATGAATGGGTGGATAGATGGATGGGTGGATGGGTAGATGGATGGGTGGATGGATGGGTAGATGGATAGGTGGATGGGTGGATGGGTAGATGGATAGATGGATGGATAGATAGATGGGTAGATGGTTGGGTGGATGGGTAGACGGATGGTAGATGGATGGGTGGATGGATAGATGGATGGTAGGGTAGATGGATGGGTGGATGGATAAATGGTTGGATGGATGGATGGATGTGTGGATAGATAAATGGATGGATACATGGTTGGGATGATGGATGGGTAGATGGGTGGATGTATAGATGGGTGGATAGATGGATGGGTAGATGGATGGTAGATGGATGGGTGGATGTATAGATGGGTGGATGGATAGATGGATGGGTAGATGGATGATGGGTGGAGTAGATAGATAGATAGATAGATAGATAGATGGGTGGATCAGTGGGTGAGTGGATGGATAGATGGATGGGTGGATGGATGGGTAGATGGATAGGTGGATGGGTGGATGGGTAGATGGATAGATGGATGGATAGATAGATGGGTAGATGGTTGGGTGGATGGGTAGACGGATGGTAGATGGATGGGTGGATGGATAAATGGTTGGATGGATGGATGGATGTGTGGATAGATAAATGGATGGATACATGGTTGGGATGATGGATGGGTAGATGGGTGGATGTATAGATGGGTGGATAGATGGATGGGTAGATGGATGATGGGTGGTTGGGTGGACGGATAGATGGATGGTAGATGGATGGGTGGATGTATAGATGGGTGGATGGATAGATGGATGGGTAGATGGATGATGGGTGGATGGGTAGATGGATGGTAGATGGATAGATGGATGGGTGGATGGATAAATGGATGGATACATGGTTGGGATGATGGATGGGTGGATGGATGAGTAGATGGGTAGATAGATAGATGGATGGGTGGATGGGTAGATGGATAGATAGATGGATGGGTAGATGGATGGTAGATGGATGGGTGGATGGGTAGATGGGTGGGTGGATGGATAGATGGATGGTAGATGGATGGATGGATGTGTGGATAGATAAATGGATGGATACATGGTTGGGATGATGGATGGATGGTGGATGGATAGAAAGATTATCTAATGAACTTTACACCACCATATGAATCAGAAATTGAATATTGTCACTTTAATGTCCTATTAAAATGTGTCCATTTTATTTTTCAAAACAGCATATTTTTTTTTCAAATATGCAAGTTTTCATATTTTCTTACAGCCTGTTTCTTTTGTCTGACATGTTAGATAGATGGATGGGTAGATGGATGGTAGATGGATGGGTGGATGGGTAGATGGGGGGTGGATGGATAGATGGATGGTAGATGGATAGATGGATGGGTGGATGGATAAATGGTTGGTTGGATGGATGGATGTGTGGATAGATAAATGGATGGATACATGGTTGGGATGATGGATGGATGGTGGATGGATAGAAAGATTATCTAATGAACTTTACACCACCATATGAATCAGAAATTGAATATTGTCACTTTAATGTCCTATTAAAATGTGTCCATTTTATTTTTCAAAACAGCATATTTTTTTTTCAAATATGCAAGTTTTCATATTTTCTTACAGCCTGTTTCTTTTGTCTGACATGTTCTCTCTTTGTTTTGTTTTTTACAGTGAGAGAAATTAACATTGACAGTATTCAGGCCCCAGAGCCCAGAACCAAAGATGTATTATCTAATGAACTTTACACCACCATATGAATCAGAAATTGAATATTGTCACTTTAATGTCCTATTAAAATGTGTCCATTTTATTTTTCAAAACAGCATAATTTTTTTTCAAATATGCAAGTTTTCATATTTTCTTACAGCCTGTTTCTTTTGTCTGACATGTTCTCTCTTTGTTTTTTTTTTTTACAGTGAGAGAAATTAACATTGACAGTATTCAGGCCCCAGAGCCCAGAACCAAAGATGAGTTCTTGCAATGTGAGTTTATTCCTCATGTATTGTTCTTTTCATTCTATTTCAAGCTCACGTTCTCATCTATCTCTCTCTCTCTCTCCCCATTAGATGCTTGTGATTTGACCCTGGATCCAAACACAGCCCATCGGCGTCTGGCCCTGTCTGATGGAGACACTGTAGCCACGCTTCAGCAGACGTCTCAGCTGTACCCTGACCTCCCTCAGCGCTTCGACAGCTGGACGCAGGTGTTCTGTCTCCACCCCCTCTCCTCCGACCGCTGCTACTGGGAGGTGGAGTGGAGGGGGCGTGGCTCCTCTCTGGGTGTGGTCAGTGGTTCCATGCCTCGCAAAGGGGCAAATTCAGGGGCGGGGCTTGGGTATAACAGCCAATCATGGAGCTTGGAGCTGTCAGACATGTGCTGCGCAGCCATGCACGGCAATCAGAAGGTGGAGATCCCTGTGACCTACAGCCCTCGTGTCGGGGTGTTTCTGGACAGGACCGCAGGGACTCTGACTTTCTATAGCGTGGATGATGAGTTGGTTCCTCTCCACACGTTTCAAGGGTCGTTCCCAGTATCGCTGTATGCTGCGTTCGGGGTGGGCTGTGGGGTCGGCGTGGGGCTAGATTTTGCCATGGGGCAGTTCAGCTCCGCGTCAGACAGCATTAAAATCTGTCCCTTGTGAACTGAGCGAATCTCACAAAAACATATGCAGGTCATATTTCACCAAAAATCCAAAGAAGAAAAAATAAATTATATTTTGCATAACGAAAATGAAGCCTATTGGTAAGACCGACATTTTTCAAGATTCAGCATTCTTTTGTACAATTTTATAATTATGATTTTAATTTCTGCAATAAAGCCATGTTAATCATTCTGTCTAGACATTTTTTAAATCCATAAAATATTTTATTCATATAACAGTAATAAATTATAATTATTTTTAAATTATAGTAATGAGAAGTGAGATGTAATTATGCTTAATTGCCATACAAATGCATACCTTAAATCTCTTCAATGGTTTGAAACATGATTTATTTTGTTTATGCAAAATATATATATATATATATATTTCCATTGAACATGTTTTTCCCAACCTTTTTTGGATAGTATGGTTATGGCAAATCATTACTAATATAAAGTATTAAAATAATTCATATAAATTTAAATATGTAATTGAATTATACTTAAAAATAATTGTTCTGGCTTCATTTTTATTTTTATTAAAATTCAGCACATTATCACTTTCATAGCTTATAGCTCAATATTTGTTTGTAATTCTCATCATGCAATTATAATTTTAATATTGGCAGTACAGCAAGAGTTTTTTTTTTTTATCTAAAAAATAAAAGTTTATTCACAATAATAAGAACGATAATGAAATTGCTCTAATTCTGAACGAGATGTTGAATTTTTTTAATGCAAAATAAATGTCTTTTTCTCTTCTAGACACCCGTTTATCAAAAAAATAAAATAATGTAAAGCATTATAATAATGATTTGTACAGTCAGTATAATATACCAAAAATGTTTGTACACTTGAACTGAATACAAAGCACATTTGAGCTCCTGTGTATAGTTATCAAACTCCTCAGGATGAAATGCCAGGGACACCGAAGTTGAATTTGCATGTTTTATTATAAAAAAATCCAACAATACACAGCTGACACAGGGTTCTGACAGCTAAACACAGGAAAACACACCATGTCAACAGCACAAAAGAAATCACATGGTGCTTGATGTCACAGCTTGTGGCATCATCTTCAAGCATTGACCTTTGACCTCAATGGCAGCAGAGAGCTTGATGACATCAACAGCAGGATGTAAATAAGGACACTTTGATACAGAAATCAAGTCATGCGTTTAGTACACTTCAGCTGGGAACAGAGAGAAAGCTAGTGATGTATAAATGCAGCAAGCATGCTGGTATTGTTCTGAAGAGGTTGATTTGACCGAGTTTAGTTTAAATCACATTTAGATTTGTTTGTGTTCTTGGCATAGTTGACAAAAGCTCACTAAATGTCACTCCTGTAACCGTTTCTGAACCAAACTGATGGTTGTGCTGTCATCATGTCATTTACTACAAAGCACAAAAGGTCAGTTTACCACAAAAACAAACACATCCACATACGTTTTGGCTTAGAAAATGACAATTCAGGCAAAAAGACGAATCATTTTAGTTTAAACCCAAAAAGGTCTTTGAAACTAGAGTCCCTTCTCAAACTCCACCAAAAACATGAAATATATTAAAATCCCACTCTTAGCTGAAAGGTTAGTAAATAATATTAGCTATCTCAGGTTAAATGTATTAACATACTCTATTCTTACCTTATTGCTAGATAACACACGTAATGCCTATTTACTAAAAACACAATTCTAGTGGGTTAAAAATGAAAAGTGCATAAAATGAGGAAAGAAGGGAAATAAGTGAAGATGACAAGGAAGCACATTCGGTGTCTTTAAGGAATTCATTCAGGGGTCAAAGTGTCAAGACCATGTAATATAATGGTTGACCATCTTTAGGTGTACTTTAGAAAGGTTTCTGTATTCACTAAAATACAATTTCTATGCTTTATATTTAAGAGGGGTAAATGCAAACTCCCTTCTCTTCAGGTTTCAGTTGCAGAATCCTCTTAAGCTAAACTTAAAGTACAATCTGCAGTGATGCCTTTTGAGTGTACATGTGAACAAATCACTCATTTCCCTTAAATACACAGTCCCTGAATATGATTTCAACAAGGTTACATGTATTCAGAACATGTGCCTTTACAAACCCAAATATATCCTGAGCACTCCAGATCTGCACTTTTGTGACAAAACTTCCCAATAACCAGTTGATTCAGTGCAAAGAAATAAGAGGAGCTTCTGTCCAGATACACCAGCATGCTGAGGGACACAAATGCTTGCTTAGACCTTTCATCTGTACCTGTAATGATGCAAAAATAGACAATATGGGCAGGTAGATGTTCTACTAAATGTCTAAAAGGCTTTAGCTATGTATAATGCAGGACGGACTGAACAACTACACAGAGAAACTTTCAGGAACTGCTGAGTGAATCAAGACAAACCCCTAAAATGAAGCTGTGGAGATGCGACCATCCATTTCACTTGCCATATTCCATTCTCCTTCGTGTTCATCACCTCAATCTTGTTCATATGATTCACTAGGATGAATCAAAGTGACAGTAATTATTCACATTAAACCTACAGAAACCCTCATATTTCCAGTCCTTTATAGCATTCCTTTAACTTCCTTCCATCGATTCAACATCCTTCTGCACATACATTTTCCTGATCTATCCACCACTTCACAGCTCCACAGCCTCACGTGTTAATGGACGGAAAATAAGTGCCATGACTTGTTAAGGAAACTAAATAAAGGATAAAGGGACATAAATGAACAATAAAGGAAAAAAGAGATTTAGACCGGGAAAAATGGGATTAGAAATCTATGTTTCCTCTTGAGTGCTTCAAGGCCTTTAAAATCTTCATTTTTACATAAACATGGCAACAAGACACTTTAACTTCATTTTTGTGCTTTAAAAACAACCTTAAATGTCTTTCAGCCTCTTTTTCCAAGGAACAGATGGTTTAATCAAGGATATGAGGGATAGATATAAAGTCACTCCTGTTGGTCAGAGACCACGCCCACATTCTTATGAATTATGCAAGTGGGGCGGGGCCTGAGAAAGGGAGGCGTGTCTACGTGTGCGGCGCGGTTCGTTTAGATTCCTCCATGGTGGAGTGGGAAGGGCCAGGGAAGTAGGGTGAGGGGGCGGGACAGGAAAGGACGGACTGGAGACAGATGCGCTACGGCGGCCAACCATAGCAGGCAGACTTTGATTTCGCCGAAGCCCATCCAGTAAGCTGCCGCCTCCTGTTGCTAGGAAGGTGGCAGATTCCTGTGGATGTGCGCCTTCGGCGTCTGACCCTTGGAGGACTTTTTTATCCAAGCCTAGTTTGCGGAGATGCTTCATGAGGTTGACGGCGTGGCAGTCGGGTTTGGTCGATTGCCCATGAGGGGATCGTTCAGGGCTGAGGAGATCCGGTCGTGGGGCACGGCCAAGTTTCAGCCCGTAAACGTCTTGCAGGAAGAGCTCAGCGGGACGGGATGCCAAGAAGTTGTCCGAAGAGGTGGATCGGGAGTCGAAGGGCACAGGGGAGGGGCATGGGGAGTTTGGAGGAGTGCTGCGAAGACGTAGAGAAAGAGGCTTTTTGGGTGCCGCCATAGCGGCGGGACCCTGAGCAGAGATGCCTTTCTCCAGCAGGAGCTTGGCGAGACCACTAGGGGGCGCTGCAGGGCGGCGAATGGGGAAAGAATCGCCCAGACTCAACCTACAGGGTGTGACTGGAGTGCTGGGACCGGTCCGAAGAGAACTTGGGGTGTAATCACTCACAGAAGGACTGCAGGCAGAGCTGATAAACAGAAAGAAAAGAGTAATATGATTTTATATATATATATATATACACTGTATATATATAAAATCTTATATATCTTATCTAAAATCAAAATCAAAAAATATTTAAATAAAATAAATTGAAAGCAAATTCATTTTTATTTTTTCCAATCAATAACTGATATCTGAATTCCTCCATATAAAAACACACTGAAATAAGGTTTTTAACAGAGTTGAGAAAGATTAAGTGCCAGAATAATAAAAGATGATAAAAACATCTGAATAATATTATTAACATTATTATATAAAATATTCTTATTATATATATTAACAGAGTTGAGAGACTAAGTGCCATAATAAAAATAATAAATAAATAAAAAAGATAAATTGAAAATAAATTGACAACACTTCTATTTTGCTAATCTTGCTGGTTGCACACATGAACAAACATACAGTTCAACCACTCTGAATCATCAGCGTATGACTCTTTTGAATCTGTTCTTTTTTGTGTTTTTATTGGTTTTTACATAAAAGTCCTTTGTAATGAACAAATCAGTCTCCAACTCACTTGCATACTAAAATCTGATGGTTCCTGACTTACTAAAGTAAAAATGTGCAGTTCAGTAAGGCACCGAACACAACAGCAAAAGTAAAGACAGTTCTCAAATGCTTCACACCCTTAACCTGCTGTTTATTAGTGGTGATAGATGTTGTACCTGGCTGTCACCTGTGTGCTGTCACTGGGATGCAGGATCCGGCAGGTAGTGAAGGTGTATGTGGAAAAAGTGGAGCTCTGATATTTCCCAGGATTTATAGCTAAACAAACAAAAAGTGATTAACAAACATGCATTATTATACAGGAACTGGAAAGCAAACGGGTGTCTGCAGTGACCGTTATTTACCTGCTTTAGATCCGAGATTCAGCTCAAACTGTGGAGCCGCTGATCCTGAGATTCCAGAACTAACTGCAGGAGCAGCGCTGGCTGTCAGGTTAACTGCTGTTGCTAAGGAACCAGCCGTTGCTATGGGCACAGGGGAATTCCTGAGGGATGCAGGAAGGAGCTGGACATTAGCTGGACTTTGGACACACCTCCTCTCTCTCTTCTCTTCCGGAGTTGACGATGAGCGCACATTAAACGTGATTCCTTCCTCCTCCTCCTCCTCTTTTATCTTTGCATCCTGTGGCTCCTCCTCTTTTCTCTTTTGTTCCCATGGTAGTTTCTCCTGGTCTTCGTCCTCTTCGAGGTCATTCAGGTGGTAAACATTGTCCTGAGGGAGAGGGCGGAAGCCTTTGGTAACTACGCCCGGATGGGGGTCTAGAATGGTGGCCAGGTGAGGTTTAGCGAGCTGCTGCCAGTGATGAAGAGTCAGAGAACCTGAAGATCAAGCCAACAGGAACAAATACTCAAGAAACAGGGTAACTCTTTACAATAATATGCAATTTGGTAACATTAGGCATCATGAACAGTGATCAATATTGCAACATAATTGATTAATTAACGTTAAATGTTACATTTCTACATATACACTACTGTTCAAAAGTTTGTTGCCATGGATAAGAAATTTTTTAATAATAATAATAATAATAATACAGTTTCGTGAGCAGCAATTCAGCATATTAGAGTGATTTCTGAAGGATCATGTGACACTGAGAGACTGGAGTAATGATCATCACAGGAATAAATTGCATTTTACAATATATTCATATAGAAAATTGCAATAATATTTTACAATATTACTTATTTTGCTGTATTTTTGATTAAACGCAAAGTTTCTATTTCTGCGACGTCGTGGCTAGAACAACAACATACAACCTATGGTAAAAAGGTTTAATATTAGATGATTAGATGCTAAACGTGTCCATTTTGTTGGGAGTGCTGAACGCTTCTGAATGGCTGTGATATTTGAGTGATTCTGTCGCATCTCGATGTCGTGTCGCGTCTGGTGTGGACAGACTAATTGCTTGACGTATGGAATCTTGACGCGTCACGTCTGGTTAGGACACGGAGACTTTTCAAAAACATTCAAAACCTTACTGACCTTAAACTTTTGAATGGTGTAGTGCAGTGGTTCCCAATCCCGGTCCTGGAGAACCCCCAACACTGCACATTTTAGATGTCTCCCTATTTAAAAACGTGCAGTGATGGGGGTTCTCCAGGACCAGGATTGGGAACCAATGGTGCAGTGTATTCTAATACATTTGAACAGTTTTAAACTGTATAAATTAAATGCATGAATTAATTCAACATTAATATATTTTATGAACACACATTAACAACAATATATTTATACAATAATCTAGATTAATAAATTATCTAAAAATAACATTTAACTTGCTGAAACTAATTTATGAATTAAGCCATAAAGTGCTACAGGAAATGCTCACAGTGCATACAGGTATTAGTTAACACTTTGTTTAATCCTTTATGAACATAAACTAAAAAGTACATGCCAAAAAACTAAACTTGGCTCTTTTTTCTGCACACTATCCTCTACTCACCTTCCATTGGTTTAACAATTTGCAGTTTTTCAGGCAGAAATGTCTTGAAACAGCTGGAGGAGATGGAGAACTCGGATAGGTTGGTGAAAGACGAGACGGTGCTTCCCATTGGTGAACTGCAGCTGCTCCCGCCCCCTTCTGACTCCGCAGCCGCCAGCTCCTGCAGCTTCCGCTCTCTCTCAACCTGGAAGAACTGTCGCTCGCACAAGAAGTTCTGCCTCCGCAGGGAGAGGCAGTTTAGGGCTGACGTAAGGTCATTTCCTCCGAGAGAGCCAGGCTGACCCAGACGAGAGTTCTCTCTGCAGCACGCGCGCACACACACACACGTGTTAGAAACACACAAAAACATTGTGGGTATAAACACATTCTGCAGTCACACTCACTTGGTGGTGTCCACGTGGTGTCCACGTTCCTCTGTGTTGGGTGTGTGTGATTGATAGGGCACTGGGGTCATGACCACGCCGCTGCGGGCGGAGCCAGGGATCGGAGGCACTGCGGCAGCCGCTCTCATCACCGACTGATTGACACCAGCAGAGAGAGTTCAATATCCTGATATACATGAGATTACAGACATGATCACCATAACACTTCCAGGTCACTATGGTCACTGCATTTATTAACCAACTCTGTCCTGTAACACGTTATAACACTCCAGCCTTTATGGACACATTTCATAAGTTCAGCAGAAGTGCAATGATAAGACGGACACACCACATGAATGAATGAAGTTACATGAGATTACAGCCTTCTCTAAGTCACAGTGACTAAGCTGCTTTGCCTTAAAACTTGAAAATGCTTTAAGATCTTAAAATTAAGTGGATTAATCCTTAAAACACTGTATTTAAGTAAAACACAGCGTTTTAATCGGAATGATCAGTCTTAATCCAGATTTGCAGACGCAGAGCTGTTTGAGCTGCAGTATGTATTGTACCTCTGCTGTGAGCTGCCGTTGTGCTTCCTTTGAGGCTTGCAGGTGAATTCTCAGCTCTTCTTTCTCTAGTGCCAACTGAGAAACAAACACAGACATACACAATTATACATCAACATACAGTCAAATTCAAGTTTGTGTTTCTTCAATGTTTTTGAATGTCTCTTAGGCTCAGCAAGGCTGTATTTATTTGATCAAAAATACAATAAAAACAATAATATTGTGAAATATTAATACTATTTGAAATAACAGTTTTCTGTTTGAATATATTTTAAAATATAAGAATTGTCAGCATCATTACTCCAGTCTTCAGTGTCACATGATCCTTCAGAAATCATTCTAATATGCTGATGTGCTGCTCAAGAAAACATTTCTCCTTATCAACGTTGAAAACGGTTTATATTTTTGTGCAAACCGTGATTTCTTCAGGATTCTTTGATGAATAGAAAGTTCAAAAGAGCAGCATTTATTTGAAATACAATCTTTTGTAACATTATAAATGTCTTTACTGTCACCTTTGATCAATTAAATGCGTCCTTGCTGAATAAAAGTGTTAAATATGGCATGCATCCTGACCTCTTTGACTCGTTGCTGGAGCTCTACGATCTGTGAGAGGAGATGTGTAATCTCCTCCTGATGTCTCATTAACTCCTCGTTCTTCTGGGAGAGCTCATCCGCCAGTGACACCATCTGACTGTTTGACTCTCCTGTTAATCAAACACACCGAATAAATAAACCTACAGCAGTCAATACGAATATTTACATGCACGAAAATCCGAATGAATCCAATCCGCTTTCTCTTTATATGAACCCTAAAGCAATCCGATTCATATAATTGTTTACATGTGCACAACATGCATCCCAAACAAAACTTCAGCACATGCGCAGCGGCCAGACGTCTCAATGTCACCAGAGCATGTTTTCATGATTACTATTTACATGATTCTTTTTTTCTATTGATCAAATTATTTCATTTTTACACCATCCCTTCCAATCCAAACTGAATTCGGATTGAGCTCAGTTGGACTGATTGTGGTGTTCACATGAAGGCTTTCCAGTCCGATCTGATTATTTAGCTGCATATAAACACAGCTGATGTGATTTTACTGAGGCTCTGTTTCAAACCCTAGAGAGCCGCCCAGCCAACATTTTTAGGCATCATCGGCGTTCTTTGAGCTTAAAGGCGCTTCCAAAATTGCACACTGGCCAAAATCAACGGCAGTTACATGTATTTTTCATATATGTATTGCAACAGACAAAAAGGGTCCTTTACAGTCCATTTGTGAAGGACAAAGTTAATGAGGTTTTATTTGGTTTATGATGCTGCTTTCAAAGGCAGACGCCCATGTAGACAGTACACAGACTCGGTTTAACTTAAATTAGGAGCTTGACAGTCTACGCAGATACTCACGTAGCTCTTTAACGCAGTCGTTCACCAGCTGCTGTTCTTTCTCCTCATAAGTAATGGTCTCCGTCTTCAGGTGACAGGCCTGAAAATCAGACAGAAAATCAGAGGTCACGCTTTCATAAAGCCCTTACGCTCCTGAAATATCAGCCAGAGCTCATGACGCACCTCTGATCTCAGGGACAGGTTCTCCTCCTCCAGCTCCAGGAGTTTGGACTGCAGGGCCTCCAGCTGGCTGAGGGCGAGAGCGGCCCCTGCGGGATGACGTAGCGGCGTGGAGCAGCTGGAGTCGGTCTCGCTCTCCTCGCTGGTGCTCGCCACCATACGGAGGAGTTCATCCTTCTTCGCCAACTCATGCTGAAGCTGATGAACCTGATAGAGCGATTACATGTAAGACTTTGAAGCCAGCTAATACACATTTAGCCTCAATTTTTTTCATGTCAAAGCATGCTGTACCTGGTCTATGGCCTGCGCTAGCTGCTCCTCCAGAGATTCGTTTCGCTCCTGCAGCACGTGGTTCCTCTGCAGGAGAGACTGACCGATCCGAGCGGCCAATTCCAGGTCGCGGTCCCTCTGCGGGACGACACCATAATGCAAACAGACAACCAATCAAGAGCTGTTACTAACCAAAACAAACTAGACAAAGCATTTACTCGCAGTTTGCTGACCAATCACTCACTTCAGCCAAGAGGTGTGTGACCACGTCAATGGCACTGTAGGTCTTGGTCATCTGCTCCACCCGGTCAGCGCTGAGGACTACAGCGAGAGAGACACAGACAACACAAGATAAATGTGAATGCATGTAAAAAAAAAACAAATACTGGCATCTATACTAGCACTGCATATTCAGTGAGACACACCAAAACAGGAAGGTGTAAAAACACCCACACGCCATATGGCAAGCCCTACACATGCAATACACAAACACACAACTCCTAACACTACAATAACATCATGCACAAACCCAAAGTGCATTCAAAAACACTCGTATTCAGATTCACTATTAACTGCATGCACTAAACTACTGTTCAAAAGTTTGGGGTCAAAAGTAGTAATTGATTTATTTTAATTGCCATGCCAGCATCTTCATGGCAAAAACTAAGTTGGAACACAAGAGTTACATAAATACAAAATAAAAACCAAGCAAACACCAAAATACAGCAGTTAAAATTAAGCAAGATTTAAAAGATTCTTTAAAAAAAAAAAAAAAAATTATTATATTAATAATTTTATTCAGCAAGGCTGCATTAATTTGATCAAAAGTGACAGTAACCTCATTTATAATGTTACAAAATATTTCTGTTTCAAATAAATGCTGTTCTTTTGAACTTTCTATTCATCATTTTTTATTGTAGTATTCACAAAGATATTCAGCAGCACAACTGTTTTCAACATTGATAATAATCAGAAATGTTTCTTAAGCAGCAAATCAGCATATTAGAATGATTTCTGAAGATCATGTGACACTGAAGACTGGAGTAATGATGCTGAAAATTCAGCTTTGATCACAGAAATAAATTACATTTTACAATATATTCACATAGAAAACAGTTATTTTAAACTGTAATAATATTTCACAATATTACCGTTTTTACTGTATATTTGCTCAAATTAATGCAGCCTTGGTGAGAAGGGACTTTTTTTTTTTTAAACACTAAAAAAAACTCTTACCAACCCCAAACTTTTGAACAGTAGTGCACATGGATCTAAATCTAAAGTCAGTTTACTCTACACTACCGACGGCTCTCTACTGTGTATAATAACCACTAGAACTGTAAAGAGGTCATATTTTCCAGCTCCTTTATTTTTTCCTTAAGTCAAACTAATAATTCTTGTCAAGATTGCGCCAACTTATTTAACACCAGTGTCTCATTTATATAATTTTTTACTGTTCCGTATTGACAAGCAATAAATCTTAGCCATCCCAAACAGATGCAAAATCATCAAGACACGATTTTGCCTCATCGAGCAACAATTTCTCTTTCAGCATGGACAGACAACTTGCGTGCTGCACCATACATTATTAAATAGGATGATTTGGCCACTGTACCTTTAAGGCTTCATGCAAATGAGATTTGTTACAGTATGATTGGCTAACATCTTCGCATGTGAAATGAGTAACAATTCCAAGTCTTTAATACTTAATAGGAGTTTGTGTTAATGTGCTCATAGTTAAGTTTAGTTTCAATAAATGTTGTTTTGATTCTTCATAGTATATCAAACTCCTTTATTTTCTCACGTTTTCCATGATATGACCCCTTTAATGTGAGTTTCAGATGGCTCTAGGACACTGCAGCACAGTTAACACACCAGACTAGACATGCTGGTTGCCTGAGGTCAAATACTAGCTAAATACAAATACTAAAATAGAAGCAGAAACTAGGAAGGACAGGAGTACTGTAAAACAGATGAGTGGAACATAGACAGATAAAGCATCAGACAGACCACGTGTTACCTTTAGAGAGGCTGTTAGAGCCATTATGAGGAGAAGAGGAACCAACAGCTAGAAATGCTGCAGAGGGAATGAGAGAAAGAGAACGAGAGAGAGAGAGGACAGAAGAAGAGAAGGAAGAGAGAGAGAAATTAGATGCTGAGGAACTGTGCTAAACTGATGGTGAAAATGAGAAACACCATCACCAGCATAGAGAGAGAGAGAGAGAGAGAGAGAGAGAGAGAGAGAGAGAGGGAGTGCTGAGGCGCATGGTGCGTGAAAGTCACCAGTTGCTTTCCATAGCTGCAGAGTTTTCAACTTCCACTGACATTAATATAAGCACAAAAACTGCGACAGGAGCTTCATGGACTGGGTTTCCATGGCTGAGCAGCTGGATACAAGCCTTACATCATCAAGTACAATGCCAAGCATCGGATAGAGTGATGTAAAGAATGTCACCACTGGACTCTGGAGCAGTGGAAACCTGTTTTGTAGAACGACGAATCACACTACTCTGTTTGTCAGTCTGATGGGTGAGTCTGGGTTCCATGGTCAACTGTAAGTGGTATTACTGGAAAGTGAGGGCATTTAGGAACAGCAGTAGATCAACCATGAAGCAGATGCCAGGAGAACGATACCTGCCTGACTGCATTGTGCCAACTATAAAGTTTGTTTAAGGAGGGATAATGGTATGGATCTGTTTTTCAGGGGTTGAGCTGGGCCACTTGCTTCCATTAAAGGGAAATTTAAATACTTCAAGACATTTTGCACAATGTTATGGTTCAAACTAAGCCAATTCTCATCACTGCCGACACGTAGCTCATCCTCTGCTGTAATAAGACTAGAGGACTCAATGATGACAGTGCTTCAGCTGAAGTAATATGCTGTCATGTCAATCAACTAAAGCAGCAATGAGCACTGTGTGGGGAATATATAAACTAGCCTGTTGCAAAGCGAGTAAGTGTTTTCCTCTTAATAATAATGAAAGACACAGTCAAGGTGTTTCACTAAGACCATATAATCTTACCCTACTAGTGTAAAATGATTAGGTACTTCTACCTGGAAATGTTGTGACAAACTTGAAAGGACTCTTGATTTGCAGGGAAGTCCTGAGGAAGAGTCGGAGATAAACTTGTTCCGGAAAGCCATCAGCCAGCTTTTACTCTCCCTGAAAGATCACGGCGAAACGAAGAGACATAAAACCTATATGAAAATTACCACCACACACCAAAGGAAGTGAGAATGTCAGAACGAAAAAAGACTGAACACACCAGAACATCTGTCAGCTGAGAAATAAACACACCCACCAGAATAGAGAGAGAGAGAGAGAGAGAGAGAGAGAGAGAGAGAGAGAGAGGGATAAAGGAGGAGTAATGAAGCACCTGACAGCAGTCACTGTCCCGTGAGTGCTCCTGGATTAAAATAAATGCAGGTTTTAACACACACACACGCACACGCACACACATGCACACCCACGTTTACCTAGATGTACCTAGGATGCACTGGAGCTTATACTGTGGATCAGTTAATTTAGTGTAAATGGTAGGTTTGTGATGGTGAGGAAATTTTCCCACCGGTTACTCGACGTGTGACAACACCGGGGCGTTCCCTCTTTTCCTCGCTTTCCTTCGCTTTTAAATAGCTTGTAAAAGCGGCGTGCGCATTTTACTTTCACTTTAAAATAGTGTCAATTCGGAGTAAAGCAATTGTTAATTTTTAGTTTGTTTGAATTTTCCCTCGTCGCTTTTAAATAGCTTATTAGCTCGAATTAGTGGCAATTAGGTGTCAATAGCTTGAATGCAACAACAAAATACAACGTCAAACTCACTTTTGCGTATATATAAAACATAGAACTTTTATTAACAAAACAAACGCAAATACACCATGCTATAGGGCAGGCTATGCCTAATATAAAATAACAAATAACTTACATAAAGTTTAAATGTACAAAACTGGAAACAAGTAAACATGTATAATATATAACCAAATAAATAAGAAACGTAGAACGTTTATTAGCAAAACGAGTAAGAAAGCTTGGAGGCACGGCATACACCTTGATGTCAAATAAAATAAATAAATGACACAAAGTTTAAATAATAGTAAAAATCAGCAAACAATGTGGAACCAACTAAATAAGAAACTAATGTTTAAAAAAAACGTCCAAAATCAGCTTAGATAAACGGCAGAAATCAACAGGCTTTTCAAATCCAAAATATTGCCAAACAGGCGCTTTTGCATCTCGGTTCGAAACTAAATCATCCGCGATCGTCTTGTCTGTTTCGCCTCACTCTTCTTGTCAGTCAGCTCGACTCACTCTCCTCACCGGAGAAATTAAATCTGATCTGTGATGAGACGGTCGTGCGGCACGCTGCATTGAGCAGCCGCGTTCAGTTTTTAATTGTAGTGTCTGTTCTTTTACTGAACTAAATTATTTGTATTACTATAAAAAATCTAAACGACGGTGGGGGTCGGTGCCACGGTGGGCAAGTGACGTAACCGGTGTTGCGGCTTAACACCGGTATCACCGTCAGCACCGTCTATCGCGGCAAGCCTAGTAAATGGTTTTATGAATTCTGCACAATCAAGTCTTGAAAAGATCTTCTTGAAAATGATCAGAGCTAGAGTTCATGCTGAATGTTGAAACCAATCCATTCTTACTCACTGAAGTTAATTGCTATTGCCATTGTCCTCTCTTGATCTGTTACAGTAATAATCTGCTTCATTTAAGAAATGTAAAGACCAAATAGACTCTGTTGAATGATAAACACTCATACAGCAGTAACAGTAATGTATGCTAATGGTTTATGTTATATAATAGAGGATATTCTCCAGTAATCAGAGTCACCATCAAATCATTTAGATTGAAACACAGATTAAGAGATTATCTGATTTATGACAACACTTACATGTAACTAGAGTTTAAATAAAACACACGGGAGATCTGCCTCCAAACTACAGCCAAGTAAACAATGATAAGTAAATATTTAACCTGCTGTAAATATCCAAACTTTAACCTAACTCTATATATTAATATCTAGCTCATCAGCCTAACAAGAATGAGTGCAAATGAGAAGTCTTGTATACTCACTAAGGCTGCATTTATATGATTATAAAATACAGTAAAAACAGTAATAATGGAAAATATTATTTCATAATAATATAATAACTGTTTTCTGAATTTTCAGCATCATTACTCCAGTCTTAAATCATTCTAATATGCTGATTTGCTGCTCAAGAAACATTTCTGATTACTATCAATGTTGAAAACAGTTGTGATGTTTCATATTTTTGTGGAAACTGTGATACATTTTAGTTTAGGATTTTTTGATGAACAGAAGAGCGTTTATTTGAAATATAAATCTTTTGTAAAATTATAAATGTATTTTACTGTCGCTTTTGATCAATGTAATGCATCCTTGCTGATTGAAAGTATGAATTTATTTAAGAAAATCTAAATCAAACTTTTGAATAGTAGTGTACATCTTTACATGCTACATTTTCATGCATTCATCAAAATTCCAAATACGATCACTAAAATGATTTATTCTCATTCTCCAGCTCTCTCTCATACACACACACACACACACACACACACACACACACACCCCTGTCCTTACCCGAGGCGAGATGGTGCTCTTCACTTCTTCACTGCATTCGGACAATCACACTGACTGAACGTCCATTATCACACAAAACACATGAACTGAGCAAGCCTCAAAAATACTCATGACTCATGCCACAGATGCTCTGATCCGCTCGATCTAGTTCAGACGACCTTATATAAACTAAGCGTCATGAACAAACCTCAGCAATAAGTGACGCATTCGTAATCACAGACTTGTGAAGACCGTTGATCTCAGTAAACCATCAGCTGGTGTCAGTACGGTCAGGTCACTTCTACTATCACAGAAGCCATTGCAGTTTGCTGCAAATTTCTAAAACAGACAAAATGAGGGACCTGGGATTTTGCAAAAGCATGTAACGACGACAGAACACAATATTATAAATGTATTTTACTGTCGCTTTTGATCAATGTAATGCATCCTTGCTGATTGAAAGTATGAATTTATTTAAGAAAATCTAAATCAAACTTTTGAATAGTAGTGTACATCTTTACATGCTACATTTTCATGCATTCATCAAAATTCCAAATACGATCACTAAAATGATTTATTCTCATTCTCCAGCTCTCTCTCATACACACACACACACACACACACACACACACACACACACACACCCCTGTCCTTACCCGAGGCGAGATGGTGCTCTTCACTCAACTGAAGCATTCGGACAATCACACTGACTGAACGTCCATTATCACACAAAACACATGAACTGAGCAAGCCTCAAAAATACTCATGACTCATGCCACAGATGCTCTGATCCGCTCGATCTAGTTCAGACGACCTTATATAAACTAAGCGTCATGAACAAACCTCAGCAATAAGTGACGCATTCGTAATCACACACTTGTGAAGACCGTTGATCTCAGTAAACCATCAGCTGGTGTCAGTACGGTCAGGTCACTTCTACTATCACAGAAGCCATTGCAGTTTGCTGCAAATTTCTAAAACAGACAAAATGAGGGACCTGGGATTTTGCAAAAGCATGTAACGACGACAGAACACAATAACAGTGAAACATGAATGTTTGACCTGCAATCTTGAGTGACCCGTCATCCTATTACCAGTGCTGTCATTGTTAACTAAAATACAATTAAAACTATTAAAGATCATTTTTGGTAACTGAAATAAATTTGAAATAAAATTAGTTAGTTGCAAAATATAATTTATATA